CTAAATTTAATGCTGTAATTTTAAGTACAATTTATCCTGGCAATTTGTACACCTTAATACTGTAATTTGAAACATGGCATTCTGAAGTTCGTGGTCGACACAACTTATTAGAGTATCGCACTTCAATCGCACATGCTTGGCTTTATTGTTAGTTATACTACAAAACGATGTACTGATAGTTCGAAAGCACACTACATTTCACTTATGAATAAGCAACATGGACGAAATATATTTTGACCAACCTGATCTTCAATCTGTGTAGAAGTAGGCAAGTCCAAAGAATACATGTAAAACAGTAAGGCACAACATGACATACAAATAAAGATATTTCAAAGGCACACTAGGTTTTTTTAATGATCCAGCAAGAGTTGATCAAATGCATTTTACATGATGTGGTTTGAACAATGTGGATCTTCAATCTGTCTAGATGTCAGCAAGCTTGTAATTTGAATGAGACCAACGTAAATCATGTCGAAGCACAAAGCCAACACGTTAGATAAGGTTGACCATTACATAAATGCAGAAGAAACAAAATTTACAAGGGTCAGCTTTGAAAAAACATAATTAAACTATGGTGACCTTGCCCTTTGTTATATTTATTATTTAGATATTTTAGTAAAAAAACAAATGCCTTATCTCAGAAAAAAGTGCTGCATTTAGACGTGAACGTAAACGTAAACATGCAAGATAACAGAAAATCTTAGCTGGTTTTTGCCCAAGTATTTTGTACAGGTATCTTTTTTTAGAAATTAATGACTTACTGAGACAAATATGAACTGCTCATTATATTCATTGTGTGATGACTATTACATGAAAAGTAAAAAGCGCCCTCTATGTGTCCGATAGAAGTCAACAGTAATGTTGCCTCCCGAGAATCTACATCTTCAATAACTGCAATCTTCGTCTTTGAAGTGTGTTTTTAATATAGTATTATGAAAGTTTATGATTGTGTTCTAATAGCAGAGACAAATTGCTGCGAATTTTGATTTATAGGCTTCAGATCTTGATCAAAGGTGTGCTTATATCGATTATCTGACATCGTGTTTTCTGTTAAGATAGTTTTATTATAAGTAATATTTATGTTTTTATTGGTATGTTTGCAAATGTAGTAGACTGTTCAACAATTGTCTCCATGAGTTGACATTGAAACCCAGATATTGGAGAAACATTACCAATGATATTGATTACAAGATAAATGATTTACTTCATTGAACACGTACAACAATGTATATTTCCACTGGGACCAGTGACCTTTGAATGTGTATCACCAGTAATCAGTCAAGTAGAAACAGTAATGATTGTTATCAGATTTTCTCGATTACTTTCTCAATTTTTGCATGACATTTTCACACCGCACTAAGGAAAGATTTTATACTGATGAATTAGGTGACCAAGTTTGATAAAGTTTGGAATAGAATTAGTAAATTTATTGACGACGACATTTTTCCCTTAATATACTTTTTTCTTTCATCATAAGCTTATAAAGGGTGGTGGTCGTCGCGCCGCGCATGTGTGTTGATAAACATTGATTTTCCCACAATCCAGTGCGCTTTTTTTAATGACATCACTGGTACGAGTATTGAGCTGGGTCATTTGCACTAATTACCACTGGCGACCTCTTCGATACCATCCAATCACCAAAAAAAAATTCTAATTAAACTAGGTAACCGCTCATTTTATAATCATGGGTGTGCACAACAGTCAAAGTCGCCATCATTTTTTTGCTAGTACTTATATGAGACCCATATCTCGCGCATGCGTGGCGCGACGACCACCGTCCTTCAATGCCGAGCGTCATGACTATTACAAAAAATAATGGATCTACCAACAAAGACTATTCGAACGGAAATATGTCCTTCTAAACAATGTTACAACTAAACAACGTTTCAAATAACACGAAGTATCCCTGAATAGAAGTCACCGTCCCATTCATTGAAGAATGTGCCGCCCTCTAGGACAGCTTTAGTCTGCATCCAACACGTGCCTTTATTGGACTCGCACGTATCTACGGTAACGGAGTTCAGTACAAAACAGCCCGGATGTAGAGACATGTACGACCTGCCAGACTCATTGGGTTCGTCATATGCCCAATAACCGTTACCGTCGGCTTTCTTCGGCATCAGTTTGACCCAATCTATCTGCTGCATAGGGTGCTCGTAAGGTTGGCTCATTAGATACTCTCCAACTGGTATCAACCCTGCTGGGTGGTTCTTGTTTTGGAATGGCATCGTACAACACTGTGAGGTGCCGGCGGGGCTACAGAAACAAAGCATGTATGTTATAATAATAATGGCATTTATCATATAAAGCACCAATTAAATTAAAAACAAAGAAATTATTCGTACACAACGATTTGCAAAATATCCGTAGGCATACTTTGTATCAGTAGCACACAACGCAACAAATATATTATCCCGATAAAACTAACCCGTTCGTAGGACACGTCCATTGGGAATTCCAACTATATACGGGGGGGCGTCGATTATTATTTTGACTGTGACAATGTGTACTGTGTTTATTCGTCAAAACATGTTACCTTTTACACATTAAACACCCATTCTCTTTATCATAAACACACTCGGCGTGGTTTGTCCCGTACTCGTCTGGCAGTGGTGTCGGATTACGCTGTCTCAGTCTGTTTCCAGAGTTACGACAACACGAGGGCACAGTTCTGTATAAGAGATGAAAAAGGTCGGGGTGTTATCTTGATTTATTTTATACCAACGATCATGTAGGTGATTCCATGCAACGATTACTATATCATCGCTAGAATAATCTACTGGGCAATATTGCAATTTACATCACTGTTTGGATAACAATATTGCTATACATGGAACATTATTGCTTATCAACTAATCAAGTCAACACAAAATATTGCCAAAATGTAACCATATCTCAACGTGCCACAATTTCACAACAATCTAGCAGATTCAAACAAATCCAGCAAAATTTTTACCTAAAATGGAACCAGCTTGTTTTAGTCATTTTAATTTGCAAATTGCATGTGGATTTTTCACTTTTCACTCCACCCACGCATGCAAGCTAAATCATTAACCCTACACTGAAAGGGCTATGCCATCAAAGTTTACGCTTACATACAGACTAAATATACGTGCCGTAATGTACGTACGTTACCTACTGACAAAATATTAAAAAACAAGATGCGAACAACTCGGGATTTCTTCTATATAAGACTGAACTAGTCTTTCGGACGTTGAACATGGCCGCGTATTCGACTTCAGAGCTGCAAGTCTACTATGCCCTGCCAAGAATACCGGCAGGGCTCGGGTGCGCTTGACTCCTCCTAACAGTGGAATACTTGGAAAGTTTGAAGACTGCCAAGTCTAGTGTGACTGCTTCTGGGGTGAGGTTGCTATTATCAGAAGACGGGGTCTGTGATGCAGAAACCCTTCCATTAAATGAGAGTTGTCCACGTCGAGGTTTGTTGCTATTGCAGTAAGCCGAGTCACAAATCTTTCCATAGTTCGGGGTCGGTGAATCGATCTAGCCAACTTCTAATGTTATTTTTTGAATACGGATCAGTTCAGATGGAATTTGTCCTAAATATGGAATGCATTTTAGTATACTTGCCAGTAAATACGCGTACTTAACTGCTTCTACTTCCGATTCACAACGATGCCGAAGGTACCATTTCTATGTACGCAATATTTTACAAGAAACTGAATGATAAGGACAACTATAATGTATGTCTCCCAACCAGAGTTATGGAAGCAGATATGGGATTAGTTTGGCCAGAACGTCACACGGTAAAAGTTACAATCCCACATTGAAATAAAAATACTGCGCCAAAATGTTATCGCATTAGTTTTTTTTTATATAGTTATACTATATTTGTAGTAATTTCACTGAAACCTACATTTACATTAAAATGATTGTGTGTAACATCAACCAAAATTGATATGCCCACTTCGATCATGGAAAATGGAATGGTAAACATTCAAAGCAATGTGGCTTTATGCATCGTGTTTTTGTGTAGAAAACTATTAAAATAGATTTATTACATGTTTCCAGCAAAAAATTTCACTCGAATATGCATTTTGTGTAGTTTTTATGCAGTTCGAGAAGACGAGTCCACCAGCGACTCGGCTTGTTTAGTGTAACACGAGGCGACGCTCAGTGTAAGACAGTGAAACATTGCAATACTACTAGATATATGCATTGCCCAGCGGATTACTACTATTCTCGCGATGACAGTAGAACGACATATCATCTGCTAAAATTCAAGTTGAACTGACTATATTGCACACATAACATGTACAACTCAGTTTTTGTTGAAAGTATGAACAAATTCGGGTGACTATGCATATTTTGCATATTAATACACTACGAAATAATAGCTTGCTACTGGCCATTGTGTCGGACTTAACATATACTGGTTAAGTTTGCAACATAAGAATGATAGTTAAGTCATTTATATGTGATGTATCGTGGTATGGTCAAACATACAATGTTAATGCTTTAAAATAAATGTATCTTACTCTTCTTCTTCTGTTGTATCTTTGTTTTTACTTCGCCAGCATCCTTGAACCACGGACAATGCGCACAGGACAAGCAATATCACTTTCATAACAGGAAACGACGTCATGATCCGTTCGCAGAATAGTTCCTATAATGAAGACAATTCATTGAACTCACTGACACTGTATGAAAGTGTAACAGAAATGTGTGCGAACGAAAACGTGTTCTTTTACATAAAACTACATTAAAGTAAAAACATGAATTCTATGGTTTGATGGGTTTTCTAAACAACGCCTTGAAAATGCTACACAACAATAGTAGATATGAGTATTTAACTCGATGCTGCCTACATGGTATCATCAGAATGCACAAGTCAAAAAAGCTTGGCTTACTTCTCAAGCATTTGTGAGAATTGGTCTTACCTCGTCTCGTACTTGTTCTGCTATGCCGCGTACTTGTGAAGGCGATGCGAGAAAACATCCTATATTATGACTGTTTGTTCCACCCCCTCGAGATGCACGTCAGAGACAGCCCATTTTCCCAGTAGGTGGGGACGACTGAAATTGTATTAGTCGAACTTAATGAACAATTCACAATTTAGAAAACTTGCGAGATACTTTCAATGGTATACGAAACATTATTTACCACATATATATTATGTACTTCAGGAGATGGGTTCCTTTCACAGATTATATCACCATATAGTATTGATACACCCCTTGTAGTGCAATAGATCAGACAGACCAAGTCACCAGTGACGTCAGCATGTTACTCAGACGGAAGGAGCATAAAGAGTTCATGGGAATCTGCTCCTTAGAAAAGAAACAGGGATGGGAAACATTCTTTACTGTGTCCCAAGTGTTGACACAGGAATGTATGTAATATATGCCGACTCATATCGTTATGTTAATACATGTGTAAGACATATATAGTTGAGATTGATAGTGAAGTCGTTTGTTGTTGCTAGAAATCAGAACTCGTATTCCGTAATGTGATTGTATTTTTTTACACTAATTCCTTAGGTTCTAAGAGCGAGGGTCATTTGTAGTTATGTTGGCGATCGCCGCTGCAACTGCGGAATACTATGGGAGATTGCATGGCGGGAGTGAAAAGTCTTTTGATCAGTAAAATAATTTTAGAAAAGCGAAAACTGTGAAATAAAGATTGGTTTTAAATGTTAAATATCATAGAATCTGGATGAAATAATGAAAGGAAATCGAACTGGTATGAAAGGGCAGTAAATGTAGCAGAATGGAAGGTCAGGCAGGGGTCAAAATACGTCGCAATACATCCATTATGGCGGCTGCAAAGTATCAACAACTATGGATGCGCTAAAAGACTTGATTTTCAGTTTGTGTGAATGATCGGGGAAACAATTCTGTGCTTCAGTAACAGTATTTGCTGCTCTTTTATGCAATGGAAATTAATACAAGAAATGCTGCCAAAAGACATTTCCTTCTAGTAAACAAAACAACCTTGGGATGTTTATCTTGAGAAATTGAGAAGACGAAAATCCCCTGGGCCAGTCGTTGTGAAGCAATAGACATGTTTCTACAGGGTATCAGTGGTATTTTGATTATTTGAAGAGGGAAACTGCTGCTTTATGGAAGAGCAAAGTTTAATGTCATTGGCCACAGTACAGTAATGAGCCCACACAGGCTTAATCTTTTCCACGAAACGTAACGAAACCCAAACCCGCATTTTTTTCATTGGCCTAATAATATCTGAGAAAATTTCACACTGTGAAACACGAAATGAATAGCGCCATCAGTGTTCAACAATTCCCGTGGCTGTCACCTCATGTCAGCACAAATGAATCGAGCTGCAAAGTGTCTTGTTTGTATTTGCACAATGTGAAAGAGGGGTTTATTGTCAAAATATGTACGGGTGCTTTTATGCGTATGGAAACTACAATGTATATAAAATTTGATCTATGCACCCCGGGCTATGCACATCCGTTTCATGTGTTAAAAGAACATATCAGGTATACTCGAAGCGAATCTCAGCACTTTATGCTTTTTATAGATGTTATGGTTCTCTTAACAGCAAATCTCAGAAGTATTGGGGCAACGAATTTGCTAACTGCTTGGGTTTTGAATAAACAGTTGGCTTTCGAATCTCGCTAGCGCCAACTTGTGGTCGCGTCTACTCTGGGCGAGTGAATAATTGGCTAGTCTATTGTCAACAGAAATTATTCAATTACTAAATATGCTTTCCGTCCATATTACTTTATTTTTAGCATGAATAACATTTCCCCTTATAGAAAAGTAAAAAATTGCTTGACCCGGATAGAACAGGATATTTGATTAAGTGTATATATTTGAGATTTGAAGTAACTGCGTATCCATCACATAATAACAGGATAAGTGGAGAGATTTTAAAAACTAGCACATGTAATATCGTACTTTATGTCAACCATCTAATGACTGACTGATTTGCATACTGTACAACAAATCTACTTTCAAATTAACGAGCAATTAATAATTAGTATTAGATATGTCATTCATTGTGATGATGATATGTGTATGGGCCACGGTTTTTGTATGGGGGATGTAGAGGAACACAACCACTGACTTTGGTGAAGAAACAAAACCACTGACTTTGGTGGAGAAACAAAACCACTGACTGAGGTGGAGAAACAAACCACTGACTTTGGTGGAGAAACACAACCACTAACTATGGTGGAGAAACAAAACTACTAATTTTGGTGAAGAAACAAAACCACTGACTTTGGTGGAGAAACACAGCCACTAACTATGGTGGAGAAACAAAACCACTGACTTTGGTGGAGAAACAAATCCACTGACTTTGGTGGAGAAACAAAACCACTGACTTTGGTGGAGAAACAAAACCACTGACTTTGGTGGAGAAACAAATCCACTGACTTTGGTGGAGAAACAAATCCACTGACTTTGGTGGAGAAACAAAACCACTGACATTGGTGGAGAAACAAATCAACTGACTTTGGTGGAGAAACAAATCAACTGACTTTGGTGGAGAAACAAAACCACTGACTTTGGTGGAGAAACAAAACCACTGACTTTGGTGGAGAAACAAATCCACTGACTTTGGTGGAGAAACAAAACCAATGACTTTGGTGGAGAAAGAAAACCACTGACTGAGGTGGAGAAACAAAACCACTGACTGAGGTGGAGAAACAAAACCACTGACTTTGGTGAAGAAACAAAACCACTGACTTTGGTGAAGAAACAAAACCACTGACTTTGGTGGAGAAACACAACCACTAACTATGGTGGAGAAACAAAACTACTAATTTTGGTGAAGAAACAAAACCACTGACTTTGGTGGAGAAACACAGCCACTAACTATGGTGGAGAAACAAATCCACCGACTTTGGTGAAGAAACAAAACCACTGACTTTGGTGGAGAAACACAGCCACTAACTATAGTGAAGAAACAAATCCACCGACTTTGGTGAAGAAACAAAACCACTGACTTTGGTGGAGAAACACAACCACTAAATATGGTGGAGAAACAAAACCACTGACTTTGGTGGAGAAACAAAACCACTGACTTTGGTGGAGAAACAAAACCACTGACTTTGGTGGAGAAACAAAACCACTAACTATGGTGGAGAAACAAAACCACTGACTTTGGTGAAGAAACAAAACCACTGACTTTGGTGAAGAAACAAAACCACTGACTATGGTGGAGAAACAAAACCACTGACTTTGGTGGAGAAACAAAACCACTAACTATGGTGGAGAAACAAAACCACTGACTTTGGTGAAGAAACAAAACCACTGACTTTGGTGAAGAAACAAAACCACTGACTTTGGTGGAGAAACACAACCACTAACTATGGTGGAGAAACAAAACTACTAATTTTGGTGAAGAAACAAAACCACTGACTTTGGTGGAGAAACACAGCCACTAACTATGGTGGAGAAACAAATCCACCGACTTTGGTGAAGAAACAAAACCACTGACTTTGGTGAAGAAACACAGCCACTAACTATGGTGGAGAAACAAATCCACCGACTTTGGTGAAGAAACAAAACCACTGACTTTGGTGAAGAAACAAAACCACTGACTTTGGTGGAGAAATACAGCCACTAACTATGGTGGAGAAACAAATCCACCGACTTTGGTGAAGAAACAAATCCACTGACTTTGGTGGAGAAACAAAACCACTAACTATGGTGGAGAAACAAATCCACTGACTTTGGTGGAGAAACGCATCCACTGACTTTGGTAGAGAAACAAAACCACTATGGTGGAGAAACAAAACCACTGACTTTGGTGGAGAAACACATCCACTGACTTTGGTGGAGAAACACATCCACTGACTTTGGTGGAGAAACAAAACCACTGACTTTGGTATTTCCACACTAGAAAGAAAAATTTGGCAAGATTGTATGATGTATACATAAAGTTTGAACATGATCGATCAAGACGCGTCAGAGATATAGCTCAGGGACCAAATTAATTAAAACAAAATGGCCACCAGCCTGCCATTTTGAATCTGATCTGAAAAACAAAATGACATGCATCAAGGTCCTATGCTGTCCAATGTTCATGTATGTACTAAGTTTTTACAAAATCCATCCATACACAACTGAGATCTGGCAGTATTGCTTCATTTTGGTCCCCAGAGAAATGTTTCCAAACATGTTTAAGAAAACTTAGCAAATTTAAGGATCAAAATGGCCATCAGTTAGCCATATTTTTCTCAAACGGTAATGAAAATTGATGTACATATGCATCATTATTTTTATATGTTTGCATAGCTGAAATGCAAGCATCAACTTGCTGACCACAATGTACATTTCCCTTTTTAAGCTTCCACTGCACATATATTCCAGTCCATGTTATGATGAAAACAAAGCACTCCACACTGCTCCATTATTACATGTTATAAATCAACACTATCAATGTGTCATATCTATATATATGACGACGTAATCCTCTAAAAATGTTTTCAACAAAAAGCCCCAAATTTAGTGATACTGGTGATTTTATAACAGTAATTAAATGATTAACAATATCAAGAAGGACAAGACCAAGAATGTAAACAGTCACGATGTTTATTATCATTCCATTTCAAGTGTTCATATAATGGTAAAATATGATAACTTCAGTTGTAGATGTAAGCTGTTGGATTTTTGACTTGTTTAGAACTGGATCATTTGTCCCTGAAAAACAAATATAAAAAGATGTGAGTAATGTTTCACTACAATTTACACAACTTGAACAGAAAAGTGGTACTTTTTAGGTAATATAGTGAAAGAAGCGAAGTTTTACAAGTAAATTATGCACATATTAATTGAACATCCATGATGCTTGAATGATAACTAACTGGCTTCCAGTTGCTAGTTAGCAATGGTAACTCAGGACGAAACTTTAGTTTTGGAGAATGTTTTAAACCAACAAATGTGATACACTATGAAAATTAGTGGTATCTGCAATATGACATGCATGTGATAGAAACAGTATGAAAGTTGGTGGATCTGCAATCTGACATGCATGTGATGAGGCCCTAAATGCCCACCATCTTTACTAATTGAGGCAGAAATTCGCATGATATGGATTGTTGGTAATGGCCCAACATGTATTTTGTGTTATATATAATATAGTAATATATATCCATGGGGACATCCATTCCCAATTACAATGAGCAGAATTCAAAACAGGCCCAATGTGAGAAAAGAGCTGCGACTGGAATACAAAATAACTACTTGCCTTCCTCTTCTTGTCACCACCTAATTCAAAGTGTTTACACCTCTTTATCGTGAGCTGTTTACGAGTCTTGCAGTTGGTACATTCCAACCTCAGAACAATCTTTTTTGTTGTTTTAGCCTGCAATGACAAATTCACATGGTTACAAAAAATGTGTAAAATACCATCAAGAGTGAATAATGGGTATATTATCTGAGAAAACATCTGTTTTGAGGAATAATTATTCACAACTGAACCAATACATGATTTAATTCAACTGTAAATTGCATTAAAAGAATGTTCTACAGCCTTTTACAGGTTGCGACTTCGAGGACAGGACTGATTCAACATTGTTCAGAAACAGTGTTCATAAATATTTTCAACAGACAATGTCAAAAGAATTGCATGAAGCGTTTATTCACTCATTTTGTCACAACTTATTGAAAATGTGTTTTTGTAAAACCACATTACAAACAATCTTTGAAACTGCACTATGAGAGATGCAGCTATCCAAAAAATAAAATGCTCAATAAGAACAGTGAAATAGTGAATTTTTACATCAAATGTCATTGTTTCACCTGTTTTTTTTTGAAGTTCAAACCATACATTTTGCCACAGAAACCGTAATTTCTGTAACACGACGTCTCAAGGTTAGGGCCAAATAAATACTGTAGAATACTATATTTCCGCTATTTTTGCTTTTTTCCTACGTCTCACATTCAACTCATCAAAAATCAGTGAAAATAAATTCCATACAGAAAGCTTTTTCAGCGAAAATTAATTCCAGCTAAAATAAAGTATTTCACAGTAGAAAGTGGCCATTGGAGAGTGCTCACTTCTTGTTTTTAAGCTGCATGCTGGAAACATTTATGACATGAACATGTCATCCAAATGTATTATTTTGCATATCCATTCCCCGTTTTATTATATTATATCCCCTAGTTGTGATATTATGATAACCACAGTGCTAAATATATACTAAAAACACAGGGCTTTTGGGTAAGAGTTCCTTAGGGCCCCTCACATATAACTCTAATCCTAACCCTGCCCCATATCAATTGTATATATCCCTCTATGGATCACTTCTTATTTGGAGAGAGATAATGAATTTCATTGGGGGGCTTGAGTGTTAAATTAAGGTTAGGGGTGAGGGGGCCTTATAATACTCTTTCCAGTTTTGGTTGAGTAGTGTATAAAGTACTAATAAACCAAATATGGTACATGTTATATGCTTACCTTCTTACGGAAAATTACTTTAGTTTGACCACCATATCCACTCTGCTTACGATCATACCTTCTTCTACCTGAGAAGATACAATACAGAATTAAAAGATAATTTAACAATTATTACACAAATTGAGACTAGCTGCAACAGCTGTTCATGCTGTTATGACTTCTTTCAGGATGCAGTAGATATAATTCATGTGTACAATTACAGACAATTATGAATTGTATACAGTCTATGACAGAAGCTTGCTTCATAAAAGGAGTAAGAGTAGAAGAAGTAGAAGTGCACATAAATCAAAAATTACATTTACTGCATACTGGATCTATGTAAACTTATTTTGACAAGAGACTACTACTATTTACACTTGCACGTACTCTATTAATAAAGCAAATACCATAATCCCAATTGTCAAAACTACTACAAACTAATTTTATGTCACAAGTCTAGATAATAGCATGCTTGTTCCTAGAGACAAAGCGAGTAATTTCTACAAAATGTTGCTATAAGAACATGTTAAATCATCCAATCCCACAAATTGCTTGCAGCAAAAAGTAAAAGGTTTACAGTGCAGTATGTGTGTACTACAGTATTTCAGGTCAAATTGTGCGGGGAAAACATGGCAAAAAATGCTTTGCATCGAGCGTTTGCACATGATTGAACACATTTGACAATGACTGTACCAACAGACTAATAATTGTAACCTTGTAAATTCTGGTGGCAATTGTATTGTAATAAAATATAATAATTTTTTGTGTGACCATTTCTGTTTCTTCATTGTAGAAGTGTTGTTGAAATCACTGACGATGCAACTCATTTCCCAATTTTAATTCCACTAAAAAAGACGCATTATTCCCCCCTAATCTGGCACCAGTGTTCTCCCCAGAAAAATGTATCAGAGTGGCGGCTAATTTGCATATAATTTACATATCATTAGCATTTGTCTGAAGATAAAGAAAACAATAATGACAGGCTTGCATGGATGAAAATGTGTCTTTATTTTTTAACAAATTTATGTAGAAGATTAAATGAATCTGCTGCTGTGTGATTTCTATGTAATGTTGATTCTTCGGACTTTCATGGAAGCCCAGTGATCTGCAGCTTTTGAGAACGCCGTGATTTTCTTTGCTTCCCACTTCTATTAAATGACATGGCCTTCTTGTGCATCTCCGAGTGTGCGTGTTTATCGATAGCATATTTCGTAATATTTATACATGGCATAGAATTCCATACCAAAGAACTATTTCTGGATGTTTTTAAGTTGAATTTTCCACATATGTGACACAGCATTCCTAAAAGATAAGAAATAGGAGCGAATCAATACTTGTATTTAAAAAATATCGTCACGATCAACACGAAAATAAACAAATTGCCGCCATTTTGAAAAGTCGCTAAACTTAAAAATTGCCACGATAAACTTTACCCAACTATTTCAAAACATACTAGTATTAGTTACTTTGATAAATCGTAGCCAACATTTTTGACTTCCAGAAAGAAGGTCGTTTCCAAAAAAATTTTCGACGATCGGCAAAA